AAGTCTAATCACTTATGCTTAGGTCTTCAGCTAAGGCAGTTTGTTACAGGGTACATTTTCCATAATTTTATGTTGTCTTTCCAAAAAGGTAATGTTGACCTGCTTAAGACTTAATGTTGAGAAAACGCACCATCAAAGATTGAGAGCATCGTTTTCAATTGGGCCACTAATTGGTCTAATCATAATTATATTGATTCAAGTATTGGACTGCATCTTTAATGCCGCGGAGAACAAAACAAAAACAAAAACAAAACAGCCAAAAGTTACTAAAAGAAAAAAGGGAAAAATCAATCATCGTTGAAAGAAATACTACAAAGTTACTTGAGAGTGCGAGAATGTGACATAGTGGACAATGGGCGGCCAAATAATAGTAGCAGTAGTAACATAGTTGGTGAAGGAAAGATGATTTGTTTCCTCGGGCCCCTAATAAGAATTGAATTTAGAATACAAAGTTTGGCTTTGGGAATGATATATAATAGTAATGGTAAATTGGTATTGGTTGAGTGAAAATTTTTAAGCATGCCGAGGCAGATTAGAATTGATTGTGAAGGAGAGCGCGTACGGACAGTGCAACGCAGCCGATGAGACCCTGTCCTTTCTTGTTACCTGGTCTACTTATATTATTGCTCCCAATTATTTGTGCTTTTTAATTAATTACATTTTGGGGCGGTTCACGTGCTACTCAATCACCCAATACACATTTTCATTTCATTTTTCCCTTCACAATTCTAACGCTATAATAATTTGGAATTTTAATTTGGGGTTCGCATTTGTGTGTGCCACTGCCTTTCTACAATTGACAGCTAGCTAAGCTAGCTGAGCATGAGGCTGTTTCATTCTTACAAATTGACCAATTCCAAATTTCCTTCATATGCATCTCTCTCTCTTGTGTGACTTGGATTACTATTGCAGCATTTACTTCTAGAAATTCGGTGAGCACTGAGCAGGAGCAAACCAACTATATATGACCAGCTATGCACACTGTAGGATATGTGACCATGGAGTCATGCTCCATGACGTTACAAGTTCATGCTGTAGGGGAAAGTCTTCTTAGACAAAATCTTTCCCCCTATTTCTTTTGCTAACAAATATAAAAGTGCATTGTTTTCAATACCAATAAGTTAGCACATGAAATAATATCATGGCAGCTGAACTCTTGGACTATTATTTGAATTTTTGAACAAACAATTAATGAGGCTCAGTACAGGTCAATCGGAATTTACCAGATTTCTCACATGAAGTGACATTACAATGTGAAATTTGTTTTAGGGCCCGTGCATATAGCTCAACGGATAATTTGATATCTCTACAGAATCGGAATTCATGTTTCATAGTATTCATTATAAATTTTTTATTTGGTTAAATACAAATGATAATAATCATGTTAAAATGATATTATAGTAATCCATAATATATTTAGTTACTTTTACCTTTTTCTTTTTATAATGAAATTTTTACGTCCTCCCAATTTTTGGACAGGAAGGAGTTAATCGTGATCAGAGCTGAAAGCTTAGCAATCCTTTTATGTACGCGCGTCAACCCATAAAAATGACAACATTTTACTGCTCTTATTTATAAGAAGTAATTATTAATTTTTTTTCAACATATAAGAAGTAAACTTTTATTTTTAAATACATTAATTATTAATTTTGTTAATACTTTTGTGAGATTTATATTAATAAAATATTTAATTTTTATTCATACCAATTAGTAATTTATATCATATACAATAAAATTTTAAATGAAAAATTTAAAAATAGCAAAAGTAAATTATTAATTTAAAAAATATACGTGGCAGTATGTAAAAAAAAAGTTAATCAAATACTTCATTTTATAAATAAAATGGTTTTATTTATAATACAGAGATTAATAAATTGATTCATTAATTTTTATTTAAATATAATATACTAATTATTTGAATAAATTACGGATAGTTTGGATGTCTGATGCCTTTGAAAAAAGCATAACGTTTTACTTTTTAACTTTCTCAAAAAATGTAGGTAGGTCTTTGGCATAACGCGTCAAGTAACGTGTGTTACGCGTGATTAAGGTCAGACTCTTCTGTCTATCACTCTCGTTATGAGACATCAGCAATGCTTTAAAAGACAAATGTGAATAAATAAGATTGGAAAACAATGAAGTTACCGGAGTTAAGGAAATGATGGAAGCAACAAAGAAATATATCCACCGTCCAAAATGGCAATCATCAAACGCCAAAATATAATCATTTTGGTCGACGTTATTGCGTCATGCATGTTCCACAATGGAAGGCTTCTAATTCAGCAGACTCAGTTTAACTTTCACTACCCACTTAGGTCTTAAGAAATATGGATTCACTCCAACTTATAAATTATTTCAACACTACTTTTTTATTTCTTTAATATCAAAATTAATTAACAAAATGAATTGCTCGTTACTGGTTATTGTAGTTATTCGCAGTCGGGTAGTACGTACGTAGACAACAGGGGGCGACCTGTGGGCACATCCAAATTGTAATATTCCCAACATGAATTAACAATTGTTCAGCATATAACAATATGGTAGTAGTATAATCATGTGAAATTAAGAATCAATCACACAATGATTATGCCGAGAATTTTGAGTGGAATACGAGGCATGAGACGAGGTTGGAATGGAATCGACATAAATAACCTGAAGAAGATACAGCATCGTGCAGGTAAAATTACACTACACCTATGACTTTTTATTTTTTTTTAAACTACGGATGCAATTATGCATTTTTGTCTCAATAAAAATATTTACTTTCCAATAAAATTAATCTTTCCTATTTTTTTATTTTGTAGTATTTTTATATTCCATTAATATTTTACAGTATTTTATATATGTTTCATCATTATTTAATAAAAAATTCAAACTAATTTATTTATTATTTGTTGTAATTTAACCTAAAAAGTTATTGGCACGTTGTTAATATCTTTTAATTGCGATTGAATGAAATCTAATAGAAATCAAGATTACGTTTAATAGAAAGCAGAGTCTTATTTTACAGTTAATTTAAAAATGCTTCGTGCATAACTATGTTGGAGGCTATGTACCATCATACTTATAAATCTGTAATTAATTTTAAATTTTATATTCTACACTCTAGTTAAAAAAATTTCATGTAACCATATGCAATCATGCATCTTTCTCGGGATAGCAATATTTACTTTACAGTAAAATTAACATTTTTAGCATTTTTGTGTGCATAAAGTATGAGTTTTGAAATTTCATTTTAAAAAATTAAATATTTGTCATTTGAATTAGTTCTTATTAAGTAAAGGTTATTTTTTCGTACTTTTTCCAGATTATATATTTATTTCAAAAAATAAATTTATCTTTATTTATCTATTTGGTTTAATGTTTATGACAATATTAATAATTATTTTTAATTATATTCTTAATTTTAAATACTTTATATTTTTTCATAAATGAAAGATAATAAAAACAAAAAATAATTTTAGGATTTATATTTTTTAAATAAACTCTTAACTCAATCAGTGCAATTTAAATCCATGTTGAAAATATTTTTAAATAGAATGATATTAATTTTACCGTAATATGATTTTAGAAAAGATTTTAATATTTAATTGATATAAACTAAAATTAATTTTATTTGTAAATTCGTGTTTAAATAAGTATGATAAATTGTAATTATTTAATTAAAACTTATATTAAATTTGAATACAAACTTATTTTAGAAAAAGGTTTTTAAAATCAAATTACATTATTTTATTTTTTTAAAATAAAATTATATATATAAATTCAAATTCATTTAAACCAAGCTTTTAATGTGTACCCAAACAGTGGCATAAGCAATTTAAATTGTCAAACCAATTGATATAAACCGAAAGGCTTTGGTTACCTTATTCGATTCCAAGAACTTTAGCATTAGTAAATTTGTAGGTGAATATTACTGCACTAAATGAATAATTGACATAGGCATTTTATAAAGTGAGTGGAATTGATGTGTGATAGCCGTTTGATGAGGTGTGGGAGGAATTAAACGGTGATGGGGACGTGTGAGGGACGCAAGTGCATGAGAGGGACGCAGCGTATTTGGCTTTCCACATATTGCTTCATAACATAAAAATCGGAAGAAAACAATCTTAATTATGGGGTTGGTCAGAGAAAGTACTAGCGGGTTTTCCGGTGCAAGGACGAATAGGCAAAAGCCAGCGACGCGACACGTGGACGAACCACATCCGTTGGATGGTCAAAGCACGACTGTGATTTATTGATTGAAACTGTGAGAGATGTTGGCAGTGACAGATTTTGTTGTTCCCCCCCACACCCACACACACTCACACTCGATCTCACACAAACACTCTCAGTTTGAGTCCGAGTGTGAGTTTCATTACAAACCCACCACAGCAACAAAGCCAGTCTGTATTCTTCTTTCTTTGCACTTTGCAGTTGAGAGAGAGAGAGAGGGAGAGGGGGGAAGAGGGGTTAGTGACCGTAATTCATAAATGAGATTTCAACAGTAGAGTGGATGGGTGCAGTTGTCATGGCGGCGTGGCAGAGGCTCTAATTCCGTGCCATAATTGCGCGGAGGGAACAGCCAACTGAAGAGAATTAAGCAAACATCACCTCAACGCCCTATTATTTTTCCCTTTTTTTTATTTTCTTTTTGTGTGTTTAAGAAACAGTTTTCCTCAAAAGCTGCGTAAAAACCCAACCACATCAGAAGATCATACATGAGACGCCCCCACACGGCCTCGCCACAGTGACAGAGTGAGAGTCAACAAGTCCACACCAAAAAAAAAAAAAAAAAGAAAAAGGAAAAAAAAAAAAAAAGAAGAAGAAAGATCGAGTGGGTGGAAATTAATAATAAGCAAACCTAGCAAATTAGTATTAGTCAGCAAAGGCACACACTTTGCACTTGAGACCCGAAAGATATTGCATATATATAAAATTGTCAAAAACTAATTTAAGATTCGCGAAGGTTCTTCTGATATGGATATTATCTCTGAATTGGGGATCGTTGAGTGCAACAGATGGCTGGGTTCTTCTCTCTAGGAGGAAGGCATAACAAGGCAGAAGAAGAAGAGGAAAGAGAAGACAACAACAACAACAGTAGCGGTCAATTCTTGTTCAGGAACGAGGAGATCTATAACAAAGGATTTGAGATATGGCCACAGACACAGTCCTCGTACCACCACAACTTGAACAACTACTACTCCTTGGGGGTGGGTCCTAGTCGCAGGAACAACAACAACTCCAACGTCGTAAACGACGACGTTTCTGTCTCTTTCTCTGATGAGTCAAATCGGTTTGGGTTTACGGTGATGAGGTCCGGAAGCATAGGTGGCGGCATGAACTGTCAGGATTGCGGGAACCAAGCTAAGAAAGACTGTGCACACCTCAGATGCAGAACTTGCTGCAAGAGTCGAGGGTTTCAGTGCCAAACCCACGTCAAGAGCACTTGGGTTCCCGCAGCCAAGCGTCGTGAACGACAGCAACAACTCTCTGTGTTGCAGCAGCAACAACAACACTTTCGTGGAGATCATTCTAAACGACATAGAGAACCTGAAGGTGCTGCTGCTTCTGGTTCTCTTGCTTGCGCTCCTGTTCCTATCACCACCACAGGTAAAGTAATTCTGTATGATGTGAGAATACCATGCCATTGCCATACAAACCGTGAGAAAATAAAAAATATATATTATATATAAAGAAATTTTAATTGTAAGTAACGGAATTATAGTCTAAAATGAAAATTTCTTCTTGGTGTATAGGTCATTGGCAAATTTTCAACTATATAGCTATGCGACTCTATCATATTATTACTAGAGAAGTTAAGATGCAGTGAGATCTCGAGGAAATGCAAGTCTTCTGTGACTGATACCTAACCGGTCTATATCATTTCACTCTGAAAATGAAATTCTACTCCGTAGTCACTCATCGATCACCTTGCTTTTTCTGTCTCGCTCTTTCTTTCTCTTTCTCCCCTTCCATATTCTAACCTTGTTAATAAGTTAAACTGACGAAATTATTAAGTTCCGCATGTGATCCTTTAGTTAGCCTCGCAACTTGTTCTTTCATTCTTTTTCTTTCTCTAATGAAGAAAAGAACAAAAGGGCCGGGAGGGCAGAAATTGAGGCTAGCTACGATACTATCTCTGATTTTTGGCATGAATGGTTTTAATTAATTATTTCTGATTTGGTTTGTTGATTATTCGTTAGGGTTGGAGCTGGGGCAATTCCCACCAGAACTTAACTCTCCGGCAATGTTTCGGTGTGTGAAAGTGAGTGCAATGGACGCACCGGATGAGCGTTACGCGTATCAAACGGCTGTGAACATAGGAGGACATGTGTTCAGGGGAATTCTCTACGATCAAGGAGTTGATAGTCCTTACACGAGTGCAGGTGGTGAGGGTTCTTCGGGTGGCGGTGAAGCTCAGCCACTTAGTCTCATATCTGCCACAACTACCGCTACATCAAGTGGAAACCCTTTTGACCCTTCACTCTACACGGCTCCGTTGAATGCTTACATGGCCGGTACGCAATTCTTCCCACCCCCAAGATCCTAAAGAAGTGTCTCTCTTTCTCCCTCTCTTACTCTCTCTATCTATCTCTTGGAATAATGATTGAAACCAAGTATTTGTTTTTCATCGACTCTTATTGTGGTTAAGGTTGTTGGGTATTATATGTACATCTTAACATCAGCTGAAGTAGCTACTACTAGCTAGAGTAGTTAAGAGTTCACAAATGATTACGTCGACGATGATTCACGAAATTAAGGGGGACTGGGATGTTTGTTTTCTTTTGTTTTGTTTTCCTTTGTCCGAATCTCAGTTCAGATTTTCATGTTGTTTTGTTGTTATCGAAATGCTCACTTTTCAATTCTAGAGCAAATCATATCATATACTCTATATATTTTGATTTCGCTAGCCTTGGTGCGGTTTCTTTGGCGAAGGCGGCATTTGGATGTGTGCGTTATTATTATTATTATTATTATTATTATGCCATATATGTGTTTTGTTATGATTTGATTTGTTTTTAGTGTTTTTCTTTTTGTGGATTAACGTTGAGTGAGGAAGTGATGCTTTGAGGTTGGTGCTCAACTCGAAGCTGCTTTTCCCCCGTTTATCCGTTGGCTTGCCGGATCAAAATGGAACGAAATAGGTTTCGTGTTTGGTTAGGCATATAATTTTAAAAGCATTCTTTTAACCCTTTGCACGATTTCTGGGGAGGAACAGGTGCGTCTTTTCTTTGTCTCCCATGCATTAGCAATTGGCAACTGGGAAGTGCAGACCAGTCCCAAAAGTGAAACCACTGGGATGTGCCTCACTTTCTTTTCTTTATACCTTTTTCCTCCCCCGATCGATCGATATCTGCTTTGCATAATTGTATACGTATAAATGGAGAATTGCAACTAGCATTTACACCAACTACTTCTCTGAAACACAACAAAATTAGCCACTGGAATAGACATCCATCATCCATGGATGTCTATTCCATATGCTAGAGTTGGAAAAGCATTCTTCTTTGGCTCATAATGTTTAATGCTTCTCAAAGTATGTGCATGTGAGGTATGTTCACATTGCATACAAGTGGCTACTGCCACCAATGATATAGGTCAAGGTACATATGATATGATAGGGTTAATAATACTTTCATAGACTGCTGGTTTTAGTTCATAAGGAAGAATCAGAAAACCTTACGAAAATTTCCCTTGTTTTGTAATAACTGACCCATAACATGTGCTACACAACCTTCAGTTGATTGAGACCATTGCGGTCTCTTTCTTCTTCATCTATGCTTTTGTTCTTTTGTATTTATAACCAGCCTCTCAATGCCTTTTTCTTTATCGTATTCCCCCTCTAATATCTTCAGGTTTCCTTTTACAAGTGTTGATCTTGTTCATGTAGCGTTAACAGAAAGTTGCATCGTTTCCGCATCTTGTTCTCCTTTCTTCCATATCTAGGAAATGAAATCAAAACGTTGTTATTCTGCTAAAGATTAATCGTGAATAATGTTCATGATTATACTATGATTATGGATTAAAGTTGATTCAATTATTAGTTCATGGTTCTTAGAGTAGACATGCAGTATCCAGACAAGGGGCAATGACAAAGAGTTAGAGTTTGTTACTTCTGCTGAACGCATCCAAAGGAGAGAGAACGAAACTAACTTCTTTAACAATTGTTCAATTTCAAGGTTTGTGTCAAAAAATATTGCATAAAATGTTCATTTTCGTTAAGCTAATTTTACTCAGAAGCATCAAAATAAAACCTCTCAAAGCTCACGAGTAATTAATAATGTGAGGAAGGCAGCGTAGCCAAGCACAAGCTCTGCTAGATGAATGAGTTGGATATTGATTGCAAAATCATTATTAGTGAAAAGTGAAACAATATTATGTCAAAAATGAATACAATTAATTACCTTAAGCTAGTCGTTATAAAAATTTAAGAAAACATCTAGCTGTAAGTAGGCTCTAGAATTATTGGATGACTGTTTTCATATATAAAAGCCTTCTCAATCTCATTGAATAAAATAAAAAATATTAAAAATATGATAAAGCTTTCTTACTGAAAATGTCATGTTATTATCTCTGTGAACGTTGAAATTGTTGTAGTTATGGCCTAAACATTTGAGCTAAACCCGAATGATATTTTATTTGCCATGGTCTAGTAAGAACTAAGAGATTGTTATAATTTTTCTTTTATAACAGTTCATTGTAAGAAGTTTAATTATATGAACATATTTACGGGAATTATTCAATATTAAAACACGTGTGAGACAGGAATACTATCAATCAAGTATCTATTATTCAAGTTTTACATATTGCATATGGTGATGCTTTTGTTTTTAAAAATTTACAAAGCTCACATTGATGTGTTCTCAAATTTCGCCGTACCCTTTACTTGAGATAAACCCAAGTAATTTATGGTGGTTTTTTTCAATTGTATTCGTTTTTTGTTCTTATAAAACGACTGTAATTGTTTTTGAAGTCTCAAACAATAAACAAGATCATGATAAATGCTGTGCTAATAATAGTTTAGCGAATAATAGCATATTAAATGCTTACTGTTTGTTAGGAAGTTTTCTTTATACTTATTGTAAAAAAAAAATTATTCATTCTTCTCATACTAGCTAGGGCAAGGATTTAGTTTCTGATTGCGCTGATAAATAGGAGCCTTTTATGGCTACACGACATCCTGTCTAGTCAAATGCCTAGTCATAGAATTGTATATTCCTTTCTTTTTCGGGTGCTCAAATCCTGTGTTCCGAAAATATAGTTCCATGCCAGCGACGTTTTATGCCCTGATTTATGGATGCACGCACACAATACGAGACTTCATTTTGGGGCGGTGGTGAGTCATTATTCAAATATAAAGATATCTAACAATCTTTTAATTTTCTATTTAAAATTTTAAATGATGATTGTTTTAAAACTGGTAAAACATTATTTATTGTTCAAAATCCACAATGTCAATAAACTCCATGGATGTATTTATTAGATATTAAACATGATAGTCACCAGCTAGGTAAAGAGCCATCAGCAACCTACAGGAGGTTAAGATTATATTTACATTAGTGTAATTTATACAATTTAAAGTGTTTTAAATATTTTAAAAATGATTTTTTAAACGATGATCAAAATCAAATGTGTAATTATAAGAGGATACCTTTTTAATAGCAACAAGGAAAGGTGGCATAAATTCAAGTAACTGAACAAGAATAACCAGCAAGGAGGAAAATAGAAAGGTTGTCGCAACATTAGTTTGGAATTTGGATGTGTCTATTATAACACTCACTCACGTGTCTATTAATATTTTTTAAAATTATTTTTTTATCTAAAATATTTTTTTATCTATCTTATATTTATATCAGATAGTAAGAACATTTTACATCAAAATAAAATGAAGTGACGATAAACATGTAGATGTAATAATAAACACACAATTAATTTGAATACAGTATTTCTTAGTTACAATGGATGGAAACATGCACGTTTTGAAACCGCATAATGTGATTTTTGGGTTATAAATAAATTGTTTGAATGTCTGCTTTGCTGTCTTTGAGTTGGGGTCAACAATTATTTGATAGGACACGTCCTACCATTGTCAACATGAAATTGACTTCCGCCATGCCAAATTTAAATGTACTCGCGAATACTGATATCGGACAGTTAATTATTCGCCAATGACATGAAATGTTATTATTTATAGATCCTAAGATTGCGCTAGCTAGCTATAACATATAGTAGTGATAAATAAATCATCATGATTAATTAATCCCTATTCACGTCAATTAAGGTTTTTTAGATTTAACCTGAGCAAAGGAAAAGTTTAAAGGTTGTAGATTTAACCCCACCATGATTAATTACTCACATTTAACGTCAGAACAATGGGTACACGAATCTCGGGCCATTTCAATACGAACTGGTTCCGGACAACGCATGTCGGAAGAGGGGTTACTATAATGTGTTTGTTGTTCTTGGATAAATTCTGTATGGTTCAAAATTGCTAGATTCTTTCAGCGAGAGAACTCTCAATTCAACTAGGGTTTGATATGATGGTCACAGCCTAGGGTTTGTGCAATGAATAGAAAGGAATATAGGTAGTAGCGCGGGGCTGTTTTTACCTCTGCTTGTTACCTGCTCAGCTACACAGTGGTCCAAAGATACAAGCCAGTCACAGGACTTGCTACTGCAGCAAGCTCGCATGTGAGATGTGAATATGAGAGAGACACAAAGTATAGAGCAACTTTTCTGGAAAAACAATAATACTACCTTTTGCATTCACAGATATGTTTAGATAATTCTATCTCACTTAATCTTTAATTAAGAAAATTAAATGGCCCGGACCACTTTAACTTATTAGTTGAAGTCTATTGTGAAGGATTAATTATGCAAATATAGGAGAGATTTTTTATTTTCTGAACTCTTCCATTAGAAAATACTTTGTTTATCTCGCTTGATTATCATTTTTTCTTGTACTAATATGTTTACATGATAAGCTCTTCTCGATATGAGAATATTGTGCAGTAAGAAACTTGATTAAGGAAATTCTCAAAAATCCTAATCTTTTTTTTTCAAGTTATGTAAATTATTTTTTCTTTAATTTCAATGGAAGAAATGTTTATGGTGCAAAAATGAGCTGTATATTTTGGGTGAGTGATGAAAAGCGTTTGTACCGTAGGGTTCCCGAGGGAGGGAAGTATGGAACCGACAATACTAGATACGTGTCATCCACGCTGCTGAGTTTTGGCAATACCACACTTGACTAGGTAAAAGTAGGACATACTTGGCATTTTCTCTTTTTGACCATCAAAACGGATTTATCCCCCCAAAAAAATAGCCTAAAAATTTGGTGAATAAATTAACGTTAACTTCCAATCTAACCAGACACTTTACTTCGTACAAAAACGACGTTTTCGCGTGCTGTGCTTCTTTTGGATTTTGGGAGAGTCGTTGAAGGAGGTATCGAGGGTGCATTGATATGTTTGTATGGATTATGATTTTATTGTTATTTTTGGATAGGTACGTATAAGTAATTCAGGTGCCCTAAAGCTTTTTTTAATT